CTGCTCCACCAGGAACTCATGTTCCACGCCAGCCTCTCAGAAGGCCAGATCACAAATATCCATCAGATATGAATCCAGGTGCACCTTTATAAATACTAGATTCATATTTGGATTTTCTGTCTATACTTTACAAAAGGACTGCTGAGAAATGCAAGGTCTCCAGAAGGCAGTATGTGCAGAGAGTGTTCTGTAAAACATCTGTTACAGATGGAATGCAGTAATTGCAAAAGTTGTGTCATCAAACAGATTATTCTTCCTGTTTTATGTGGGCAGTAAGCCAATCCTGACACTCTGAAGATCCCCATTTACCCAGCACTGCAAATACTTAATGCAGACTGGCAAAGAACCCCTGCACAATGGCCTGGGCTTATGCAATTCCTGGTGCTTGCTGCCCAAGCTGACATCTTCCAGGCAGCTCCGTTCTGAGCTCGGCCCGCACCGACGCTGGTTACCTGAGGTAGGTAGGAGGTTCTGTGCTGATAGACACTGCCTTGTACTTCTCATCATTTCCATCCAAGATCTCTTCCACTTCAGAGGCCTTCAGCAGCGTCACACTAGTGGCTAATGTTGTATAGCCATGATCTATTGCCAGGAAAGATGCCAATAATTAACACTGAAAAGGGCTACCCAGCACTGTAGCATGAGCAGGCTACATAGTGACAAAGCCTCCCTGTCACTGCAGGAGGGACTAACACAGAGATACAAGTGTCCCTTGGGCTGCATCTTCCTGTAGATATTTACAGGGCCCAGAAAAAAATGGACCCTCAGCGGACTTAAAGGTCGGAAATAGAGATGCAACAATCGATAGAAAAGCTGTTAAGACTTGGGAAAGGGGGAGAGACCTCGGGACAGCTCTTGCTGAATGCCAGAGACCATCTGCATTGGAGAGTCCTGCTAAGGTTCTGAGAAAGAAGAGTTAGGATCGGGAGGCACAGTTAGAGCGACCACAGGGAGAGATCAGAGGAAGAGGATTAGACATTAATGTTATTGTAATAGCACCAAAGGTCACAGTGGACATTCTTCCTCTAGCACAGCTAAGAATAACACGCAGATGAGACTTACATCTTCGGGGACTGTGAGACCGCTGGTTTTCTGTTGGGGGAAAAAAGAAAGCAAGAGGTCAGCAGGATACTTGGAGGAAAGAGACATAAGCCCAGAGTAAACCATCATTTTTATTATGCTTTAGTCTACAGAACGTACAAGAAGTCATATTGATAAGGAATTTAACTGCTTGCTATTAGTCACTCAACAAAAACACCACCAATATTCTCCCTGTAGCAGTCACATCAGTAGCAACACACCACAAATTCTGGCAGGCACAGACATCCAGCCCCTGCAAGAAGCAAAGCTTAGCAAAGATGCACATCTTCAATGGGGCATCCTTGCAAAACTCCTGCCTATTTGATGAAAGACGCCCCTCTTAGTCTACAAAAAAATCTCTTCTGAAATATTGTATTGATTTGGAGATGTGGCTTTTGCTTTGTGATGAATGTAGCCAACCCCAGGAATATCGTGATGGATGTTTCCATTTCAGAACGTTTTTGCTCAGGTGATATTTGTTGCCAGGCTGAGCCAGGAGCCACCAGTGCCACGGTTGCAGGGTGCTCCATCACTGGGGCAATCTGAAGTGATTCACACAGCCCTCAAGGTGCACAAGCTTCTGAATCACCAGGAACAGTTTCCCAAGGCAAAATTTTCGATAAACATTACTGGGAATGTTTACTCATCTTCTCACCATGTGAAGAGGCCACAATCTTCTTCCTTTCTTCCACCGTGGCCAGGCGCCTCCAGAGCGAGGGGTACCTCTTGTACAGGGAACCCCGAAACATGCGCAAGTAGTTTCCCACCTGCAAGAAGAGAAGTGGAGATGTGGCCTGGTATTCCATTTGGGAGAGTTTTAGCAGAAGCTGGAAGAAATTCAGCTCTTTTTAATGCTAAGAAGGACCTCTTAAGAGGGTGTTTTTGTCATGTTTTTGTGCTGTGTTTGGCATCGAATAGCATCATGATTTATCTGGCAATACAGAAAACAAAATTTTTATCAGCACTTACTTCACTGGTGCTATCTTATTTCATTAGATCCAAAAGAACTCCCATTCACTGGAAACAGGAAATTTAATAGGAAAACACTCCATTCATTTGCATGTGTTTTTGCACAACCTACCCCTTCTTTACTTCAGTTTCCACATCAATGTGCAATTCTCAGTTGGGATTAAACTAAACCAGATACCCAGCCCTCTGATACATTATTTTTACTTTGAACCTCCCCATCATCTAGGCATTATTTGACTACAGCGAATGCCCGGAGACTTATATTTTGTTTTAAACCCTTTGAACATAAAAAGTGTGATTGCTGCCAATAGTTCTCTTTCAGATTTACTTGCCATCTGTAAAGCTGCTCTGTTCTTCCTGGCATAAGAGCCTCACCTGTGCTGAAGGCTACAGCAGGCCTTGCTGAACAACACAACTATTTCTAGACTCTGAAATCAAATTTCTAGACTGACAGGACAATGGCAGACTGCTACATAATAAGGTTTTTATTCCTTGTTTGAGAAGATTCTTTTTTGATCCCAGTTTTTAGCTGCATCTTTCACTCTACAGTTCTCATCAACAGACAGAAAGTAACGGTAGATAGAAAGGACAAGCCTTTTCCTTCTCCATGTACCTGGTATGGCAATCTCACAGCTCGGCTGACTGCAGTTACAGTTTGCGTTCAAACTCTGCATTTCACATGAGAGAGCGAGTGGTGTTTAGTCCCTGCTCGACCCATAGAGCTGGCAATTAAATTTAGCCAATTGTCCCTTTTCTCCATCAAGCTGGGGGCTGGTGTTTCTTGCTTGAATAAGGCTCTTCTTCAGGGAGGCTCAGCACCCTCTGAGCAGGGCACAGACACAGGGTGCTAAAACTCTGCCCGCCGGTGTTTGCTGAGCAGACCCTGCACAAGGAGCTGCACTGGCTGATTGTGGGGCTGTTCCTGAGCCCCAAGGCCCGGGTGTGGGGCTCGCTGCCTCGCAGCGTGTGAAATAATCCGAACCGCTCCACAGCCGTGTGCAGAAATTGTCAGTGATCGGGAGCGGGGCCTCAGGCTGCGATCGGCCGAGGATCCGGTCCCCAGCTCCCGTGAGGGGCCGCCCTCAGGGGACCACTGCTACCCCCGGCCCCCCAGCACGGCCGAGGCCCTCGGGCAGCGCCCACCGGGGCACGGGGGAG